AAGTACCTAGTCGAATAAAAATATAACGTATATATAGTTGGCCTTTTGCTTCCAGTCCTATCAGGGCAGGTATGCAGATTCCGAACCTGTTTTCATAGGCGGATTGTTACAGGTAAGGAATGCGGTCAGGAGAGAAACGTTGCATGGGAAACTGCCCGTCCAAGTGCGTAGCCACCCAAGGATACGACAGTTTTTAATCGGATCCAGAGGCCCTCACCAGTTTACCTTCGGAGGATTTGAGTACAACTACAATAAACACGTAACATCCACAAACGATCTTGGAAACACGTGGAAGAACTTAAAACGTAGCGTTTGTGATTTACGAAAAAATATTAGAAATAATAAAAAGCAAATGAAATGTTTCTTTTTTTCAAACACACTGGCTCCACGGTCACATCGTGTTATCCTGCACTTTCGTGTCTTATTAAATGCACTGTTCTTATTAATCAAAGTTGTTGTTTTTTATCCCGAATTCGTGCACGTACTAATTATAACACCATCATTTTCTACAAACGGCCATTTTATAATAATGTTCTCAGTCAAAGTTTTCAACTTGAAATTATTATTGAGCTAATTATACCACTTAAATCAATGTTTAAACAACAAAATGTATTACGAACCATATTTTTCATTGTGTGGTATTTTTAATACTACTTTCTGAGGTTTAAAATGTGGGGTTTAACTTATGGGGTTTGACGAACTAAAATTGTGTATTTACGAACAAATTTCTATAGAACAGTTTTACTTGCCCCCTCCCCTAGTGGCACAGCGGAATGTCTTCGGACTTACAACGCTAGAAACCAGGTTTCGACACCCGTGGTGGGCATAGCACAGGTAGCCCATTGTGTAGCTTAGTGCTTAACTACAAACAAACAATTTTCCTTTTTGTTTTATCCCCGGTGGGACAGCGGTAAGTTTATGGACTTACAACGCTAAAATCTGGGGGTTCGATTCCCTGCAGTAGACACAACAGTAGCCCAATGTGGCTTTGCTCTTAAAACAAACAAACACAAACCGTTTTGTTCTATTTTTTTTTTTGTTGTTGAAAAAAGTTGTTCAAGCGCTTTGCTAACACTACAAGAAGACTAATTCGCCAATTCTTCTAATTGATCGAAAGAAAATTCAAATAAACGATCGGTTTAAACAATAAACTAAACAATATTGTGTTAATAATCCTTTAATAAGGTTAATAATAATCACAATTATCTTATTTTGATCTAGTTCACACCATTATAATCGATAACAAAACCTTGTAGAAACGTTGTACATTTGCTGTTATGTTAAACTTATATTAAAGTTTTTCTTCATTACCCATTCAAGCCATCTACAGCCATTATTACAATCTATATTTATTAAAACTGATGATACAGATAGCGTATAGACCACTAACTGACGATACAGATAGCGTATAGACCACTAACTGACGATACAGATAGCGTATAGACCACTAACTGACGATACAGATAGCGTATAGACCACTAACTGACGATATAGATAGCGTATAGACCACTAACTGACGATACAGATAACGTATAGACCACTATTACAACTGTAGTATCTAAGCCGGTTTGGTGAACCCTATTACAACTGTAGTATCTAAGCCGGTCTGGTGAACCCTAGTACTGGATATGTCCGAAGTATTTTGGTTGGCACAGTCTAACCTACTCTTAGGCCCGGCATGGCCACGTGGTTAGGGCGCTCAACTCGTAATCTGAGGGTCGCGGGTTCGAATCCCCGTCACACCAAACATGCCTGGTCCCAAGTCCAGGATGAG